CCTAAACCCTAAACCCTATACCGCTTAACTACGGAACTCACAGGTTTCCAGAAAGGGATCCTAAAAGGGCTCTATGAGGGATCTATAGGGGTTTAGGGTTTATGGGTTTAGGGTTATGGGTTTAGGGTGTATGAGCTTATAGGTTTAGGGTTTAGGGTTGCGGGCTTAGTAAGCTATCCCTTTGTGTTTAGGGTTTAGGGTTTAGGGTTCATAATCCTTATAGTTAAGGAATATACCGTATACCTGAAGCTACAGGAGGATCCCTCAAATGGTTCACGTTATGTTTCTTATAAACGAAGGATGTTGGAAGGTCTGGATACCTCATGGCTACTGGAGGGGCCGTGATGATTCGAAAAGAGCTCCTTTTGGGATTCCTCTCAAGGGTTCTATAGGGGTGTCTAGAATTTTGTACAGTTCTGTCGTGTTAAAGGCTTTAGGGTTTAGGGTTGTGGAGGAACTCGACTCAAGCCACAAGCATAAGAAGATACTGAAACGGAGACTAATATGGCATCGTTGCTCTGCGGACGAAACAACTTCCCAAACCTCACGGACATTTGCAAAAAACTGCCGATAGAGCCCTCAGCGGCTGTCCCTGTTCGGAATACGCCTTGACCAAGCTATAGCCGGGCTTGCTCAATCTGTTGTAGTAGGGCTTCCGAAATTATGGTAAAGCCTCATGAGCTTGCTTGAACAGTAGCAGGTCACTATAAGAGATGCTTCATTTCATCGGTCGACATTACCTAAATCCTGACCCCCCTTCCGGCTAGGCTTGTTGGTGATGGCATGCCTCGGCGTCGAGGCTGGCTGCATACTGCCGAAAAGCCTGTGATCAAGCTGGGTTTAGGGCCTAGGTTGAGAGTTTAGGGCTTCGGGTTTAGGGTCAAGGGCCGCTAAATGTGAGCAAGCAAGCTGCATTGGTTGTTCGGTGCTGCTCCGTTACCACGCTCCATGTTCCATGGGGTCTTGCACAGAACTGTCTTCTAACTGCTATAGGGAGGAAAGATAGTGTATGCGAGCAATCCGAATCAAGCTCCCTGGTAACACCAGAGAAACCTAAGACCTGAAAACTCTGGGTCCTTACCGCTTGAATCGGGCCTCAGCTTATCTATCTATCTATCCATCCATCTATCTATCTATCTATCTATCTATCTATCTCTGTATAAAGTATAAAATCGAGATCTCTAAATACACACATCAGGTCTGTATTCGGGTATTTGTAACAATATTCCATTCAGACCCCCATGGTACCCGCTAGAAAATCCTAAACCCTCATCATGACCCCATAGGGGCTATCCGGGAGGGCAACTCCCATGCAAATGCTTGAGCCTACTCCAAGCCCTATCCCCGGGTCTCCAAGTAGCCCGAAGTAACCCGAAGTAGGCACTACGGTTCATGATACAAATCCTGCATTACCTTAAGGACCCTAAACAACGGGATTTATGGTATATTCCTTGCTCAGGATCCGCACGTATAGACTTTAGACCCCCCAAGGTTTTGCATATTTGGAGACCCAGGGTGTCTCTTCTGCCATGTCTTTCCTCGTCGCAGCTTCGACGCCGCATTTGTCGCTCGAAAAATGTCCGGTGGATTTTGGTTTTGTAGTGCTACTGCTACTGCTGCTGCTGCTGCTGCTGCTGCTACTACTACTACTACTACTGCTACTGCTCTACTAGCAGCTAGACTAGCACGGCGGCAGCAGCAGCAGCACCACCACCACCACCACCAGCTCTGCAAAGTTACACTTTGAAAACCTTCGGAGGGCTTAGCCCGACTTGATACGACCGGGCCGGAAGAGCCCCGACCCATTTCTGGCTGACGGCAGAAGAATCATTTACAAAGCTTAGGGCCACGGGTTTTCGGCTTAAAAGAACATCTTTTGCAGATTGGTTTGCGGCCATTTGGGCCTAACCCTAAACCCTAAACCCTACAATATTGGGGCCTTAATAAAACTGGGCTTTGGGGCCCATTATACTATATATACAATAAGGAACCTCCAAAATATTATTGGTAATCATTTAGGCCCCTACAATTAAGTTTAGGGTTTAGGGTTTAGGGTTTCTTGGGCTTGCGGAGTGCGTGCTTGGCGGAGCATAAACATCCCAGTCGGGGGGTCAGCGTGGCGGCCCCCGCCAGACCCCTTGACTCAGGAATCTTCCGTGAGTAGTATATAGTAGGGTTTAGGGTTTAGGGTTTAGGGAGGGTGTCTTCACAACAAGGGACCCTTGGTACATGTTATGAGTGCTGTTGGAGTTTCACATCGAGGGCAAGCACAGCCACAACAAGACTGTGGCCACGCTCGAGATCCCAAGCACGATGGCGGTCCGAGGAACTGGATCACTATGGAAATATTGGACGTCGAGAAGATGTGGAAGAAGGATCTTGTCGACATAGAAGAAGATCCTGGGCAGTAACTATTAACTTGCAGGAACCACAAAAAGTATGATTGAATAGGTACCCACGAAGGACAACAGGGAAAAGATTCCCAAACAGCCACCCAGGATCGCATAAGTCAGTATTCCGACAGCGAGCGGCACTGTGGATAGGAGTATTTTGCAGCACTGGCTTCCACGGAAAAACTTACGGAGCCCGTAGCATATCCGAAGACAAATCAGAGCGACGATGGGCAAGAGGGTGAAAACATATGTGCAAGCTACAAGTGATAGGTGGACCGTGAAGTCTGGCGCCAACAGATCCATGTGCAACCACATTGTGGGAGCAAGTGCTTGCACAATGCGCCAGTAGGAAAAGACGTTATTTGCGAGCTGATGGACCATAGCCTAGGTTCTGTCAATGAGTCAAGGAACTTGATTTGAGATACCATCTTAGGGATCTACAGCAGTTATATAACTAAAACTCAAAAGTGTCGCTAGTATGGCTACCGACACTTCAATCTCTTAACCCTGAACCCCAAACCCCAAACCCAAAACCCCAAACCCAAAACCCTAAGCCTAAACCCTAGACCCTAAACCCTCAACCCCAAACCTAAAAGCCTAAACCCTCAACCTTAAATCCCAAACCCCAAACCCCAAACCCTAAGCCCGAAACCCGAAACCCTCAACCTTAAACACTAACCCCGAAGCCCTAAACCCTAAACCCTCGACCCTAAACCCTAAACCCTATAAGCCCTAAACCCTAAACCCTAAACCCGAAACCCTCCCTAAACCCGAAACCCTCCACCCTAATTCCTAAACCCTCAACCCTAAACCCGAACCCTAAACCCTCAACCCTCAACCCTAAACCCTAAACCCTCAACCTCCAACCCTAAACCCCAAACCCTAAACCCTCAACCCCCAACCTTGAACCCCAAACCCGAAACCCTAAACCCTCAACCCTCAACCTTAAACCCGAAACTCTAAACCCTACTAAACCCTAAACCCTCAACCCTCAACCTTAAATCCGCAACCCTAAACCCTCTTAATAGGAGCCTGGAAGCTCTCCGCACCTCGCCGCGGACGGCAGTCTCAAAGTGCTCCACAGACCCGAACCAAGCTTCAATGCAGCGAACGATCACAACCTTACGTTTAGGGGTTTAGGGTTTAG